CTTCCCCCCCCCCCGCCCTTCCTTTTGTGAGGTGTGGATTCAGCTAAATGGGGATTCTCCCCCCCCCAACCCCCCAAAAAAATACCAGTAAAGTCCCATCTTGCCAGGGCCACCTCCTGGAGCTTGTCCCAGCCCTGTGGGCTGGTGGCTCGATGGCTTCTAGAGCCCAAAAACTTGTCTCCAGCTCTTCCTGAGCTGTGGCAGAACTTGCTCCCCCCTCCCCGGAGGCTGCCAAAATGCTGCTTGAGGGGGGAGAAAAGTGTGTGTAAAGATGCTCCTTGGGGACAAAGTGGCCTGGGGTCCCCTCTGCGGGTGGGGAGCACCCACTCCTGGAGGCCATGGACCCCCCTGCTTCCTCCTCTCCATCATTTCTCATCTCTTTTTCTGGTTTGGTTTGGTTTGGTTTTTTTCCCCCAAATCGCCCTTTTTCTCCCAAAAGAAACTTCTCTCCCCAAAACAGATTGTAAATACGCCTCATGCCATCGTAGTCTGGAAGAAAAGGCGTAGCCATACGGAAGCAAGATCCTTCTTCTCTTTTTTTTTTTTCCTTGGGTCATCTTGAGGGTGTGTTTTTTAAATTTTTTCTTCAGAAAACAGTGTTGGTGTCACCTCGCCCTTTTTCTCCCAAAAGAAACTTCTCTCCCCAAAACAGATTGTAAATACGCCTCATGCCATCGTAGTCTGGAAGAAAAGGTGGAGCCATACCGAAGCAAGATCCTTCTTCTCTTTTTCTTCTTTTTTTTCCTTGGGTCATCTTGAAGGTGGTTTTTGTAACTTTTTCTTCAGAAAACAGTGTTGGTGTCACCTCCTGCTCTCTCGGGGTGTTGGGAATTTCTCTGAGATGATCCCAGGTTGAGTTTCCTGTTGCCAAAAACTCACCACAGCCCCCGGGTGCTGGTTTGGAAACAACCTTTGGCTTCTGTTCCTGTAACTCCCCTTGTGCCGTCGAGGGTTTGGGTTGGGTTTTCTTTTGCGTTGAGTGGCCGTGTCCCTCCGTGGTGGCACCTGGTGCCTCGGGGTCGGTCGGGGACCCTCCGTGCCCGGTTTTTTTCCAGACCCACAGGTCAGTTTGGTGGAAGCAGAAGGGATGGTGACATGGGGGACCGGGTTGGAGCAGAGCACGGGCTCATCCTCCTGCCTCCACCCCATCCCTGGTTGAACCCCAAGGTGGCACCTGGTGCCTCGGGGTCGGTCGGGGACCCTCCGTGCCCGGTTTTTTTCCAGACCCACAGGTCGGTTTGGTGGAGGCAGAAGGGATGGTGACACGGGGGACAGGCTGGAGCAGAGCACGGGCTCATCCTCTTGCCTCCACCCCATCCCTGGTTGAACCCCAACCCATCTCTCTTCTCCTCGTGTCCACCCATCCCTTGACACGTGCCAGAGAGACGGAGCTTCCCCTTTCCCATCCCCACCTGGTGGGTGTCATCCCTCGGCAGGGACCCTCCTCGCAGCCCCTTGGGAAGGCTGGGAGGTGTTTGACAATTTTCTCTTTTTTGTTTGGTTTTCTTTTTATGATTTTTTTTCTTTTTTTTTCGCTCGTCCAAGTTCTGCTGGCACTTTCGCAGGGGTGTTCGCAGCATGAGAAATGGCCATGATTTTCCTGCCTGTGTTTGGTACCTATCGTGTGATACTTGAAGAGATCAGGGGTGTTTTGCCCTTTTGTTTGAGTCAGCTCTTTATTATTATAATTATTATAATTATCTCTTTTTTTTTTTCTCCTTTTTTTTTTTTTTTTTCTTTTTCCTCCTCTTTTTCTTGCGTTGTTGATGTAGTGGGCACATCTGCCACCCTGACAAAAATGCCTCTTCTCTAAGAGTATAACCTCTCCAATAGTTGTGTATAATGAAAGAACTGTAAACTTTTTTTAAAATAAAATATGTATATACCTTGAAGCTTGGCTGGTGCTTCGTCACGGAGGGCTTGGTCCTGCAGGAGAGACCTTGGGCCTTGCAACGTTGAGTTGGCGTCCCACCAGGACTTCACCCGTGGCTCATCCGTGCCAGATCAAAGCTGTTCCAGGGCATCAGAACTTCTTTGGTGTGAGGGTGGTGAGAGCCTGGCCCAGGTTGGCCAGAGAAGCTGTGGCTGCCCCATCCCTGGAGGGGTTCAAGGGCAGGTTGGATGGGGCTTGGAGCAACCTGTTCTGGTGGGAGATGTCCCTGCCCAGGACAAGGGATTTGAACTTGATGGTCTTTAAGGTCCCTTCTAACTCTAACCATTCTTTGATTCTATGATCTTCTGCCTGGAGATGATCTGCTGGAGGTGCAAGTGGAGTTTGTTGAGCACACCCAACGTGCTGATGGTAGCGCTCGGGGTCACCAGCTTCTTCTCCAGCTCTTTGCAAGCGGTGGGTGATATCCTTTCATGCCTAATGACCGCGACCAGGGCACCGAAGCTGATTTTTGGGGTCTTGGGCTGGAAATGAGGGATCAGCGCAGCCATGGGGACATCCATCCCTTCCTGTCCCACCACCTGTGCAGCCTCATAGGGTGGATTTCTTTTAGGGTCTTCTCTTGCAGCAGGACAAGCCATTACAGGTAACGCCTCCTGAGATGCCACAGCCACCGTGGGAGCCGTGTTTGTTGTCCTGGACGGGTAATTATGGCAGAGTTGGCTCTTTTCTGTATAATTGTGCATCATTTTGGCTTGATGTTACATGGGGATTGGGGATAACATGTAGATGGGGTGCAACCAGAAGTTGGGTGCAGTTCAGGAACACCCCCCCCAAGCCGAGTGGGCCAGGGCAGGGGACAACAGCCTGGTGTGTGGCTTCTCCCCATCCTTGCTGCAGCTGCTGACCCAAATTTGCTGGAGCTGAGCAAGACCTTCCTCTCCATCCTCCTCCCCCTAATCTTCCCTTGCTCCTGCCAGGGCTGTTTTGTCACCCTTAGGACCCAGCTTGGGGACAGGGTGGTGGGTCCGTGTCATGCCAGTGCCACCTGCTGCCAGCACCCAGCCTGGCAGCACCTTCGGGTGATGCTGGGTGCGGGGGGGGTGATGGTGGTGGTGGGTGGGATGGGGGACACCCTGTCCCAGTGCCACCTCCTGGGGCCACCAGCCTTCTGGGCTCTGGGGGGAGGGAGCAGGGAAGGGGGGGGACAGCTCTATACCCCCCCGCCTGTGTCTCCACACACACTTTTAGGGGACCTTTTAGCTGTGGGGGGTGTGACACTGTCCCCTCTCCCCAGCAGGTGGCCCCCGTGCCACACCAGTAGCCTCCCATTCTGCCCAGTACAGGGCAGAGCTGGACCAGGTGCTGGGTTCACTCCCTGTCCCCTGCCTGTGGCCCCATCGCTGCTCTGTCCCCACTGTCCCCTGGGTGCCAAGTGCCACCATCCTTCCTTCCATCCATCCATCCATCCGTCCATCCATCCATCCTACCTCGGGGTTTGGGGCTCAGCTTGGCCTGGCCTGAGCTCCCGCGGGGCCCCAGGAGGTGGGTGCTGCTTGTGGGGGTCTCTGCTGGGGTGACATGGAAAGGGGTTTCATCAAGCCTTGGAATGGGCTGCCCAGGGAAGTGGTTGAGGCACCATCCCTGGAGGTGTTCAAAAGATGGTTTCACATGGTCCTCAGGAATATGGTTTAGTAATTTTTATTTCCTATTTCTTATATATTTTTTTTGTCAGAGTTAGGTTGATGGTTGGACTAGATGATCTTTAAGGTCCCTTCCAACCTAAACAATTCTATGATTCTATAACATGGGGGTCAGGGACCCACAGCTGGTGGCAGGTGCTGCTCAGTGCTCCTGGGAGCACCCAGAGGCCTCATCCGGGGACAGGGACCCACAGCTGGTGGCAGGTGTTGCTCGGTGCTCCTGGGAGCACCCAGAGGCCTCATCCTGTCCCATCTGTGTCGGTGGTGAAGGGCATCAAAGGGCAAAGCACTGAGGCTAGGGTCACCTGGGCTCTAGGTGCCATCCCCTTGTGGCTCTGGGTGACGTCCCCATGTGGCTCTGGGTGACATCCTTATGGAGTTCTGGGTTACATCCCTATGGGTCTCTGAGTCCCTTCCCTGTGGGGCTCTGGGTGCCATCCCCATGGAGCTGTTGGGTACCACCACAGGACCTTGAGTGCCATCTCCAAGGGACTCTGGGTACCATCCCCATGGGACTCCGGGGGGCATCCTTGTGGGGTTCTGGGTGACATCCCCATGGGGCTGTTGGCTACCACCACAGGTTTTGGGTGTCATCCCCACAGGGCTGTGGGTGACATCCCCATGGAGCTGCGAGCTTTGGGTGCCTTCATCACAGGTCTTTGGGTGCCTTCCCCATTGGGCTCTGCTGCCACCACGGGGCCTTGGGTGCCATCCCCAAGGATCTCTGAGTGCCATATTGCAAGGTTTGGGTGACATCTCCAGGGGATTCTGGTTGCCACCACCACAGAGGCTTGGGTGCCGTTCATGTGGGTGTCTGGGTGCCACCCCCATGGAGATCTGGGTGCTATCCTCAAGGGACTCTGGGTGCCACCCCCTCAGGGCCTTGGGTGTCATCCCTGTGAGGGTCTGGATGCCATGTCCATGAGGCTCTGGGTGCCACCCCCTCAGGGCCTTGGGTGTCATCCCTGTGAGGGTCTGGATGCCATGTCCATGAGGCTCTGGGTGCCACCCCCTCAGGGCCTTGGGTGTCATCCCTGTGAGGGTCTGGATGCCATGTCCATGAGGCTCTGGGTGCCACCCCCTCAGGGCCTTGGGTGTCATCCCTGTGAGGGTCTGGATGCCATGTCCATGGGGCTCTGGGTGCCACCCCCATGGCCATGCAACCCCTGTGATGGAGGAGAACAAGCCAATGCTGGCAGGTGTTGAGGGCTCTGGTCCCAGCTTTGTCCCCATGCCAGGTGCTGGGACCTTTCACCATGACAACAACCTCTCCCCGTCCCCTTTTTGGGGACCTTGGGGACTGCTGGGCACTCATCCGGATGCGACCCCAAGGGATGCCAGCTCTGCGGCCTGGACTAGGCCACAAACCCTGGGTGGGCGGGGGGGACCATGCACCTCCAAGCCCCGAGCGGGCACCGAGACGGGCCACTTGTGGTGACACCGAGGGTCACGGGGGACACCTGAGCCCGCTCCGCCTGCCCCGTGCCAGCTCCGGTTACGGCCCGAATTGTTCCTCCCGGCTGGAAGAAATGCCGTCAGCGGCGGCGGATCGGTGGCCATTACTAATGCATGATGCTCCGGCGGGAGACGGCTGTGCCCGACCCCCCGCCACGGGGCTGAACCCCCCCTTGAAGCATCTACCCTCCTCGGGGAGGGTGGCAGGAGGGATGGAGACAGCTTTGGGGAAGGGTCTTGCTCCCTCCTCGCTTCATCCAGGCCCTGAACACCAGCACGGACCAGTCCTGGACGTGCAGGTCCAGCGCGGTGGGCTCCTTCCCAATTTTTAGCTCTTTTCCCCAAACTCCTCTCCCTCACCCCCCAGTTTTCCTCTCCCCAGCTGAGCATGGTGATGCCAAAACCTCCAGCTTCTCCCCTCGCCCACCCAGGACCAAGACCCTCCTTGGCAAAGATGGGGTGGTCCAACCCCACCGGGGTGGGATGCTCATCCCTGAGCCTCCCACCTCGGGGTGACACCCATTGGGGTGAAGGGTGGTGACCACCTCCCCATCCTTGAGCTTCAACCCCCATTTTTAAGCTGGGATCTCATGGATGGGGGTGGGGGGTGGGGGTGGATTTTACCAGCGCCAGCCTCACCGGTGCCATAAAACGTGCCGGGGAGGGCTCCCTGGCTAATGTACTTGGGTTGCGTTCCCTCATCCCTCCACATCAATATTGCATTATCTTTTCCATCCCCATCTGAGACCAGCGAGGAGATGCAGAAAGAAAACCCGGCCCCGGCCCGATCCCCCCGCACCGAGCGCCGCCGAGGTCTCAGCGCCGGCGGGGCGGCTTCACCTCACCCCCCCTCTGCCTTTCCAGAGCCTCTTCCAGGTCCATCTCCATTAAATATTCGGTTGAGGAACACAAGAAGACCATGTTAAATTTTTAAACAGGGCCATTTGCTCCGCTCGGTTTACGGGGGCTGAGGCCCGGACCAAATTTCGGCCATACCTTCGTGGAGCCAAAATATTGATGGTGCTGGGGAGAGGGATGAGGCTGGCGCCGAGGGGCCCCATGCTACGCTTGGGTTGACACCATGCAGGCCATCCATGGTGTCTTACAGCTCTTGGGGACCATCCTGGGGTCTCAGGGACCATTCCTGGGCATGGGAATCACCCCAGGTGTCTTGGAGACCATCCTGGGGTCTTGGGGACCGTTCAAGGTATCTCCCTGCTTGAGGACAGTCCTAGGGTCATGGAGACCATCCAAGATGCTTCCCTGCTCAGGGACCACCCTGGGGTTTCAGGGTCCATCCCAGGGCATAGGAACCATCTAAGGTGCCTCCCTGCTTCACAACCATCTCATGGATGGTCTCAGGGATCATGCGTGGGCATGGGGACCACCCAGAGTGCATCCTTGCTTGGCAAACATCCTGGGGTCTTGGGGATCATCCTGACTTCTGGGAACCTTCTAGGATGCTTTCCTGTTTAGGGACCACCTCAGAGTCTCGGGGGTCATCCTGGAGTCTCCTGGACTATCCTGGGCTCTTGGGGACCATCCTTTCCCCTGGGGACCACCCGTGGTTCCTCCCATTTGGGAACAATCCTGGTGTGTGCGTGACCAATCCCTGGGCGTGTGGACCATTCAAGGTGCCTCCCTGCTTAGGAGTCATCCCAAGGTCTCTGGGACCATCCCGGGCTCCTGGGGACCATCTTGGGCTCTTGGGGACCATCCCAGGTCTTGGGAACCATCTGTTTGGGGACCACCCTGGGCTCTTGGACACTATCCGGAGTGTATCCCCACTTGGGGACCATCCCAGGGTTTGTGACCCATCCTGGAGGTCCCTATTTTCTCCAGC